CACTTTCTCTCTCTCTCTCTCTCCCTCTGGATCTCTCATTTCTCGGGATTTCCCCTCTTCGTGTGGACTCGCGTGCCCATCCACCATATATATGCACACGCCATCCAACCATGCGTATTTCAACAAAACAGACATATATTATCGGGGGATTCCTCCGCTAACGACTACAAATTCATTTTTCTTATTTCCTATATCTGTGTACTGAGGGGAAAAAATTATTACGAGGCTCTAAAAAACCGTAGGTGTTTCCTTATTTACAACTGACACTGATTTATTTGATATCCGGTGCGATGCGTTTCGTCGAGAAATTGTCGAGTGCATCCACCGGATATGCAGAATTATTGAGGTCTAGTGGACAAGGTGAATTATGCTGTTGGCATTGAATTGCGAAGAATTTCTTTGGCCTTGAATTTTCCCGATTACAACTTTACGTGGAAACGGGTCTTCAATTGAAAGCCCGAGTTGAAGACCCGAGTTTGTAGCAAAGATGTCAGACATGATATGAATGTTTTTTTGGGCTCAAACGAAAGAGCGGGTTGAGAAATGGCGTGCTAGGACCTCTGAAGATGGTTTTGAACCAAGGGAGACTCCTAGACCCCAATGTTCTATACATACTCCTAGACCCCATTGTCCTCCTAGACAATGTTGTCACAACTCTGCTTTTCAATTGAAAACAGATATCATCTTTAGAGACATTTGTCATGTTTAGAGGCTCTAGCACGTCATTTCTCGACCCGCTCTTTCATTTGAGCCCAAAAAAACATTCATATCTTGTCTGACATCGCTGCTACAAACTCGGGTCTACAACTCGGGCCTTCAATTGAAAGCCCGAGTTGAAGACCCGAGTTTGTAGCAAAGATGTCAGACAAGATATGAATGTTTTTTTGGGCTCAAACGAAAGAGCGGGTTGAGAAATGGCGTGCTAGGACCTCTAAAGATGGTTTTGAACCAGGGGAGACTCCTAGACCCCAATGTTCTATACATACTCCTAGACCCCATTGTCCTCCTAGACAATGATGTCACAACTCTGCTTTTCAATTGAAAACAGATATCATCTTTAGAGACATTTGTCATGTTTAGAGGCTCTAGCACGTCATTTCTCGACCCGCTCTTTCATTTGAGCCCAAAAAAACATTCATATCTTGTCTGACATCGCTGCTACAAACTCGGGTCTACAACTCGGGCTTTCAATTGAAAACCCGAGTTGAAGACCCGAGTTTGTAGCAAAGATGTCAGACAAGATATGAATGTTTTTTTGGGCTCAAACGAAAGAGCGGGTTGAGAAATGGCGTGCTGGGACCTCGAAAGATGGTTTTGAACCAAGGGAGACTCCTAGACCCCAATGTTCTATACATACTCCTAGACCCCATTGTCCTCCTAGACAATGTTGTCACAACTCTGCTTTTCAATTGAAAACAGATATCATCTTTAGAGACATTTGTCATGTTTAGAGGCTCTAGCACGTCATTTCTCGACCCGCTCTTTCATTTGAGCCCAAAAAAACATTCATATCTTGTCTGACATCTTTGCTACAAACTCGGGTCTTCAACTCGGGCTTTCAATTGAAGACCTGATCCAGTCTTGACTTGGGCCTGACCAAAATTTCCACTCGGGTATTTTTATACTAACTTAAGGGTTAATAAAATTTTAATTGCATTCCAATATTCAATTATTCAGTAACAATCACCAAGCAATATACATCGCCAATCAATGGATACCACAGAATCCATTCCACTCCATCAAAAGTGACTCTCGATAATACATTATTGGAGTTATTAAAAACATCGAATACCCAACTCGACTGGCACATATCCAATATCACAAATAAACACAAAAACTCTGTATTCAACGTACACCACTGCTGACTGACTCCATACTCGATCCAGTGTAAACAGAAAAAACCCCGAGTATGTGTACCTGTCAGGTTTGTAACCCGCTCAGAGTCCATAAACACATCCGTATCCTTGATAGCTGATGTCATCAGAGTCTGACACGCGCGTAAATAAGTTTAGAGCTGAAAATCTAATTTCTACACGTCTATCCACCTGTTCGATCCAACTTACAACTCCGCGAGGAATTTCATTTGGAGAGCCGAGGAAATTCCGGCACCGAGTGCAGCATTTCGATTTGGAAACTTTTTTCATATTTTTTTTTCTCAAATTCACAGAGAAAAAAGTTTCCTGGTTTCAGAATTAAGTTTGTGAATTTAAGAAACTGATTGTTACAGAAGCCATTGTTCTAAGAATAATAAACTGGTTGCTAAAATTCAGAATGAAAGTCTCTAAAAATTGGAGACTTAAAAATTATTTTACGTGAGCAGAATTTTAAAATGAAAAATCGCTGGGTCCTTTAAATAAAAACATTCGAAAGGAATAATATTCTGGAATAACTGAACATCAATTCAACATTGATGGAGCCGAAGTGAAAGGTAATACACATTCTATGACGAAGGATTTAAGAATATGACTAGATAAATTTCGTAACAGAATATTCACCGAGAATATTTTATGAACTTGAAAGTTGGGAATTTCAATATCTCTAAAAATGAACAAAAATGTGACGATTGAAAAAATTTAATAGAAAAACCTCGCCAATTCGCTAGACGATTCTATTGGATTTCTGTTGAACTTCTATTGGTTTTGGGCTGATCTTTTGAAATGTTCAGTAGAAAATATTCTAGAGAATAAGTTGTGTAGAGAATTCGAATTCTGTTGACTTTTTCTATCGAATGTTTAAAAAAATAATTTCTGTGAAAAATGTAATTTGAATGACGCTGAATATTCATGATTTTTTCAAATTTTTCTCACGCAATTTAATTGACAAATTTGATGATTAAAAATGGTTGAGTCTATGTGCAGTCTGTCCCAAACTCTGGAACATACCCGGACCTCCGGAAATCCAATTCAAAGTTTCAACGTTTTTTTCCGGAAAAATGAGTCAAATTTTTTGAACAGTGCACCTGGTCCCCAAAAATCGAGGAGAAACCGGAAATAGGAACATATCACATCGCATGCTCCTTATCTGGAGGGCACTCGCACAAAGCCTCCCGCTACGTAATGAAATAATGAATCAGCCGTTTATCTCGTCTGGCGTGGGCGTGTCTACCAGCATTCCGCATTATCTTAATTTCTTCGAGAATCTTCCCGTGTGTACCGGAGGAATACGCACTCGTGGTAGCCAATGTTTCATTATCTACGTAATGGAGATTATACTCCAAGGACACAGGCGGGGTTATCATGAGAGCTCGTCAATGATTCCAGGTAATCTCAAAGGCTATCATGAGTCACATTGCCCGGCTATCCATTAATATCTCGTTTAAATGTTTTTGCTCCTCAAGAAAAACTCAGAATTTGTCGGAGGTTCGTAGATTAATCCAATTACGCTGAGAGAAAAACCAACCAGTTCTCAAACAAGTCTTACTTGTGCCAAGAAAATAGTTTTTTGAAAATTATCAAAAACGGATTTTTTTGTGCCAAACACGCCAAGATAAAAAATTTTTGTGGCAAAAATACATTTAGTAGTTCAAAAAATATTGTGTTCTCTGTACACGCAAAAAATGGCATTTCCCGCACTACTCCTTCGTTACTCAATACTCCGATACGTATTTTGCTCCCGAAAAATGTTGGTTTTATGAGAAACAAGGGATAATAGTTTCAATAATCACAGACGAGAAATGAACCCTTAGATGAAACAATAATAATGGTATGATAGCAATCTTGTAATTTAGGGACAAATTATTACATATTTCTTGATAAATTTTCCTCTATAAACTGTTAAAAATTTTCCTTTGAATTTTCTGTGCCAAATTCCGAAAATTTTTGTCGTGTTCAAGTTCCACTGAAATTTCAGGAAGTCTTGTCGTTGAAAAATCAAATATTCCATTGATTTTCTGTGAAAAATGATCTGGAAATCAATAGAATACTCAATTTGTGAGCTCAATTATTCTGGGAAACTTCAGAAAAATCAGGAGAATTCAGAGAAAAATTGAAAATTCATGTCACTTTGTTTCTGAATATTCATCTTCCACTGAAAATTCAACCAAGTTGTGAAATTTCCGACTCACTCCCACTAAAAACTCATGAATTTCCGTGAATTCTACGTAAAACTTGAACTTTCATAACTATTTTTCCCTAAATCCGATTCAGTGTCACTCTCATGAGATTTTCTATAATATCTGCAATGAAATTTCAAAAAATTTTTAACTGCGTATAAGATATTTTCATCCTGAAAAGACACCATCTTGTGTGCTTTATTGGCAATTTTCAACTAGCGATTTTGTGGCCCAAACAAGACTTATTTGAGAATGTGTTTGTTTTCTCTGAGTGTATTTGCGCTGTTCAATAACTTCCAAATAGTAATTACCAAGGAACACAGAGAAAATTATTTGGTGAATTTGAACAACTAGTTGTGGAAATTCACCAACTGGTTATTGGAATTCACCAACTGGTTGGTAATTCATTTTTTTAACAACTAGTTTGGTGTATTTCAACACCTAATTGGCGAATTTCAATGACCAGTTGACAAATGTCAACAACTAGTTGGTGACTTTCAACAAACTAGTTGATGAAATTTAACAACTGGTCGTTGAAATTCACCAACTACTTGCTGAAGGTCACCAACTAGCTGTTGGAATTCACCAACTGGTTGGTAATTCATTTTCTTCAACAACTATTTGATGAATGTCAACAACTAGTTGGTGAATTTTAAGAACTATGCGTTGAAGTTCACCAACTAGAGTTGTTAAAATTTAACAACTAGTTATTGAAATTCACCAACTAGTTGGTAATTAATTTTTTTCACCAACTAATTCGTGACTTTCCCCACCTACTTATTGAAATTCCCCAAATAACTGTCTCCGCAAATCCTTCAACTACTACTTCCAATAATATTTTTCCCAGCTCTCGCACCACCCCATCTCCACCTCTCCCCCGACAATCGTTACGACCCACATTTGAACGGCCAACTAATCCCCAGTATTTACCCCTGACATGAAAACTCACCGGTGTTGTATACGGCTGACAAGCAAGTCGAATCCCATCGTGTCGAAGTTTCTCCTGAATCAAGATCTTGAGCTGCATCCTGGGTATTCTGACAAGTTCAGCCTTGCCCTCCTCGTACTCATCAGCAAACTTTGTTAACTCCTGTCCACCACTTGACGAACTAGCTGTGGGTGATGCCCTCTGCGCCTCTTTATCACTCGGCGGTCTCTCCGACGATGTTCTCGATGACTTTGAACTGACATTGTCACACAAACAGTCATTTGTCTCCTCGAGGGTAAAGTAAACACTGGCTGCCCCCTCCTCCCTGAGGGTTTTCACAGACTGGAGTAGTCGGGCCCGATGATTCTGATTGAACACACCAATGGCGTCCAAATCGGGATCCCCAATTTGCTTGCATATCTCGAGATCATCGTACCCATTATCGATGAATGATTCCGAGTACTGACCGAGGTGGAGCGATCGCAGCCACTCGACAACGATATTACTGGCGATAGTCATATTTGCTCAGCTAAATAACCCCTCAAACTCAAAATAATCAGTTCAACAACAGCTCAATGACGATCGAGAGTGAAATCCGCGTGACACGTCATCTCTATCGCCCAAATATTGAACTACAAAGGTATCTTATTCCTTTATTTGCTGATAATTCCGATATCTCCTCGATCTCCACGAACACTTCAGTCCGAATCAACGGGACAAATAAAATATCGAAGGCTCAACGCTTCACCCGAAATCCTTTTGCTCTCGAATATCACATGTAACACTAACCACACGACACATTAAAATAAACACCACCACGATCACAATATCACAAAAATCAATCTCGCGTAATTGATGCTCACGGAATGCCGAAAAATCCCGGAACAACCGTTGAAAAATCGATCGATAAAAACGACTTGACGTTGGAAGATTCGATGGGCGGAAGACAGTTGTCCCAAAATCCACTGCTCTCTCGTTTTTCCCCGGTTCCGTTGGCGGGGGAGGGCAACAAGATTGAAAAGGGGAAGGAGAGAAGAACACGATGTGAAAAACGGTGAAAAAAAAATGCCGAGGCGCTCTTGCACGGAGCCAGGCGACCTTGGAGGCCCTCGTTGCTCCACCGGTCTCACTCCAACTCGCTCTGTCTCTCTCCGCGGGGGCCTCTTCTCCCCCACCTCTCCCCTCCCTCTCACGTTCGTTTTTTTCACAAAACGCGCGGGCGGGTTATGCACCGCTTCACCCTCTTTGTTCTTTTTACAGTCTCAGGTTCTTCCCTCTCGCTCCTTCTGTATCTTTTTTTCTTCTCGAGGCAAAGGAGTCGCCGGTAAACCAGATTTTTATCTCATCGAGTCACAATCGAAAGATTCACCCAAAACCCTGGACCATTATTATTATCTTGATTTTGTTCATTCAGTCCGGGGAGTTTTTAATCCGCAGGATTTGGAGGTTATTCCTCTCGGTATTTTGACAATTGAGTTTTATTGTTCGGTTTGTTGTTAGTGGTCCTGTCAAATGTCGGGGTTTTTTTTATTTTCTGTGGACCCCCGCAGGCTTACCGATCATCGAGGAGCGAATCCAACCTCGTTGCAGGCTCGTGAGCCACTCGACCCTGAAATTCTCGGGGTTCTCTCGAGACCGCGCGTACGTTACACTCTGTCTGGCGTACCACGCGGACGCTTGACAACGCCTGCGCTGTTTTGATTTTTCGGTTAAAACTTTTGTTGCACTCGGGGGTATCCAAGTGCGTGAGGCAACCTTCAAGGGCAGTGGTTACCTCGAGGGTTTTTAAATCACTGTCACTTCGGGATCAATCAGTCAGGTGATTCTCCTGACGAACAATTGTATTTTCATTTGTGCGGATTGATAAATCGAGCGGAGGGGGATTTCGTTGTGGTCAGGTGACTGGGAACGAGGGACTCGGGACCATTGATGATTGTGGAAAAATGGGGGATTGATTGGAATTAACGCGATCTGTTGATTTCTCTCGTATACGCGGGAGTGAGGAGCGTCCATGCGATGCGATCCTACCGTGACGCGGCACACGGCTCGACTGACACAACGTAACCGCGCGAGGGAGCCACTCTTCCCCCACCCAACCAACCCCCGATGGGGATATTCCAACGTGAGAGAGCCGCCGCAATATTTCTCCCTCCTCTTGAATTTATTTTTTTCCTCGCGGCATTTCACCTCGGGGGCGGCCACCGCCACTGCAATTTTCGGGTTCAACTCTGTGAGACCACTGTATTATGAAATAAGACACTTGTTTGTCACTCTCGATGGCTTGTCTGGGCTGGGTAATGGCGGCAAGTGTTTGGGGGGAATCGAGTGGGAGAGTCCCAGCGATTGAATGGGCTTTTCGGAAATATTAAATATTATTAACAGCTTGTGATCATAAAAACAGTGTTATTTGATCACAAAAGCCACGAAGACAAGGCAAGAGTTCATTTTTAATTGTTTAATGTTGACCCGGCAGTGTAAAACTGTAAAATTGTAAAATTTTGGGTTTATAATTGCCGATTGGAATTGTGTTCCTGATGATGTCAGGCGAAAAACAATTCTGGGTTTTCAATTTGTAGTTGTTTTTTCGATTTCCGGGGCCGGTAGAATAGTATAATATATCGAGCTGAATGTTTTTGAGGGATATTTCCGAATCTAACGGAGATAGCGAAAATTTCGTAATTACATTTCTTATAGCTCTCAATCGGCTCTACAAAAAAGGTTCCAACAAAAATTTTGCCATCTCCCTTAGATTCCGAGATATTTATTAAAAACTAGTCAATAGTCAAAATTGACTTGAACCGTTTTGCCACTTCGCTACTGAATTGATTCCCTTCAACATAAAATCCCGCAAATGCAAAGATTTTTCTTCTCGAGCAAAACCTATTATTACCGTAAAAGAATATTATCCAAGAATCCTTCCTTCAGTTATGTTCCTTTTCCTCGAATTCTGTCAAGTACATTCATCGCTCAAGTTGACGGTAGTTTATTTAACGAGATCCATTGTACGTTGGCAGGGCCGAAGGGCAGCGGGTCATGGCTGGAGGGAGGAATGACAGTTTGTAAATGAAAGGTGTCACATACGGTTACATACACGGATAGGAGCAAACTGTACGTGACCCATGAGAGTAATAATCCGTAACGCTGGGCCTCGGTGTACCAGTCAAATGGCCCGCACCCACTTACGCCCGGGGTACCCGCGGAGTCGTTCCTCTAGTATTATATATCGAGAACATTGAAATTGTCCCGAAGTGGGCTAACGACTACCACCATATGGCCAAAAACCATTGACGGTTCGGGTTGGCTTTCCTATTCTTCTCCGACGTCCCCTATTTTTTGAACCCTACCGCTGTCCAAACGGTGATTTATATCCCACCTGATTGGCTACTTTTGAATTTAGTGGATCGATGCGCCTAATAGACTCACAAAGCAATCTTTTCTCGAGCTATGCAAGTCTCAAGCTGTAGGACAAACTCTCCTTTTTTGTATCCATTTGAAAGACCGTTGTTTCATCCATATTCTCAAATTTTATGACCAATTTTGACCTTTTAAGGATATCCCAGCACTGCGTTCAAGGTCGAGGGGCTATTCACAGGCGCATTGGGTGACACTGCGATTACAAAATGTAATCGATTACCCAGGATTACGGGACTGATTACACTGATTACTACTGCCTATGTGATAAGCGTGATTACCAAGAGCACAGAACGTGATTACATGATTACAAATGATTTCGTCGATTACATTCTGTGATTACCAAACATCTGTAATCATTGAAATCACAAAAAATGACCTCTTATTGAATAGGAATTGACGGAATAATTAATTATTAAAATCTGCAAAGAAATGAGGAAGGAGGGGCGGGGATTAGAACAGAGGAATGCAGTCTCCATCACTCCATCTAAAAATTTGGGCATTTATTTGGGATTTATTTATGTTGAAAATCAGTAAAATTGCTCATTTTCTAGAATTTGCATTCAACATTTCTCGAATGATAATTGAGTGATATTGAGTGTTGAAGTGTCTGATATTTACGGAGAGTTCAGTTTCAACTTTTCACCTTTTCTGTTAATGAATATTTGAGTTAAGCTCATAGCGCAGACTCTGTCCTCACTGTATTGAAATATTATAACATCAGCAAAAATCACTGATTAGTTTTTCATCACTTTAATGGTCTGCACACGATTCGTTGCCCTAACCTCACTCCTAAGCTCAAAGAATACCTTGAATTCACGATGGTATACGTTTCCGAAAGTGTAAACATCAATTTTCGCTTTTCAAAGATTTCTCGTTATTTCCCACACTCGCTGAGTACAAGCCCAAATAGGAATCAATCCTTGTGGGGTAGGGCCTCTCTCTCTCACTCGAATGTCGTTAAAATCCCCCGGGGAAGGAAAAGTTTTCAGTCGTGCGGCTTCGCTAACCTTCGCTTTTTCTTTTTTCCACAAACTTTTACATCTTTTTGGGTTACCTTCCGCTGATAGAACATCTCGACTTTGGACCTCCTGGGCGCTCTGTCAAAGTTGTTTTTGGATTACTCGCTGCTAGAAAATCCGCTAGATGCAATTGGATCAGCTGTTCGAATAACAGAAGGCGATAAAAATTTCGAAATTTCATTGATTTACCCTCACATTATTTGAAACGCTCAGTAAAATAAATCTTATCTGACTTTTTACAGGAGACAGAAGTTTATAGAGCGTTCCACATATTGTGACGTCACAGGATATTGTTGGATAGGATTTTGGAGTAGGTAGGAGGGGAATCAGGATGATTCTCGATATTAGTTTACAAAAAAACGTCGACTTGGCTCCCAGCTGAGTTTTTGAGGAATATCTCCGAATCTACGGGAGACAGCGAAATTTTCGTAATTAGCTTTTTTATAGCTCTCAATTTGCTCTACAAACAAGGGTTTAACGAAAATTTTGTTATCTGCCTTAGATTCCGAGATATTCATTGAAAACTGACCAATAGCCAAAATCGACTTGAACCGTTATAATAAATTATGTTAATTACGATTGAATAATGATAACAGATTGTTATTTCACGTTGTCGAATTGGTGTTTATCAATCCTAATTGACCAATATTTTAGTTTGCGCTGTATATGATAGATTTCAGCCAAATCTTCATTCACGATATAATTCTGTAGTCAAGTGGGAACAGGTAATCCGTCACATTTTATAGCCTTGTTAATGGTGCGTTTATCTTGAGGACAAGCCATTCCGAGATGAAATCTCGGGACCTTTTTTACCTGAGAAAATTTCTCCCAAAAAATGTCCGCTGACATTTTTTTTCCTAAAGTCACTCGTTATCAGGATATCTTTATACTCACCAAGACGTTGACCGATCGAAATGAAAAAAAATACTCGTCGTTTCCATCTCATCTCTTTCTCTGGGTGATTTCCTGCCCTGAGCAATTGACTCAAAACTGAATTGAGGCCATCCGTTGATCCGCAACCGCGTGTTTCATAAACGCCTCTACCTGCCGATAGATTCAGTCCCTCCATTGATGACATAATCCATATTCATAAATTCAATCCACTTTCCCAATTTTGAATATCACCGAGACCACTCTACATGTATAAACAGAAAAGACAGAATAAACGAATAAATTTGCTCGACTAATGAGTGATTGTATTCAGCAATTTATTCAGCAGTAGCCAAATACCAATTATCCCAGGCAATTTTGAATGCAGGGAATTTTATTGCAATATGTTTTTTTCGTCATCGATACAGCTCTCGGGTATTCGTGTACCCATTCAGTTTCATCCTAAATTCATTTCAACCGTTCCAACTTTTTGTCTTCAACTAGCCGCAGCCTTAACTATCATAGATGCGGTTTCAATAAAAAATAAAAGAAAACCTCTTGACTACGAC